GGAAAAGCATGTCACCTGCTTCTGTCCCCACTGAGATTGGAGGCACCTCAAGAAGAGCCCCTTACCCTGGGAGAGAGATAGTAGCTCCCAGCCAGATTGGGATGATGTTACTTGCCTAAGAAGGCGGCAGGGCTTGACTTGAAGCCTCCAAAGGGCCCCAGTGTGTCTACTGAGTTGCTTTTTCTGCTCACAGATTGATTTAGGTGAGCTCAGGCCATGGTCTGCACTTCTCAATGAGTCTGTCATTTTGTGTCAAAGTAATGGGTTGAAGGTGGTTGTTCCTGGGATTTGGGATTGTGATTACCATTGGGGTGGGGAGTAACCTGAGCTCCTAAATACTTTGGGATTTTAAAGGTTTGCACACAAAGACTGATTTTGTACTGAAGTCAAATGTTTTGGGGGCATTTTGAAATGGAAATTGAGTGGAGCTGTCTTATATAGTGTAAATGTAAAGCATGAAACAAGTTCATCTTTTTGCTTCAAATGGGGCAAAGCCAAATGGCCTTTTATGTCTGAATTAACGAGGTTTCAGTCCTGGTTTCATTCCTAGCAATGTGGAGGCCATGCAGGTCCAAATCGAACTGTTAGCTCAGACAGAGAACATTGAATTCACTCAATTGCAAAGTGCCAAAACATAAATCCCATGAGGTTTTTCTGCTGCTGCATAGGACATGACAGGTAGCATAACTGCTGGTTGTATCATCATCATTCAGGGCACCACAAGCATGGCCGTGACGCTGTTTGTAGGGTCCTTTACTCTAGATGGCAGAAACAGCCCCAGTAAGTGCTAAATTGAAAATGCCAAGTCACATTTGTGTTTTCTTTTGCAGGAATCGAGATTGACTTATGCAACAACACTTGCCATCAAATGGCCAAGTAAGTACAGATAAGGGGCTGGGTCATTCTGAGAAAGCCATATGTGTTTGGATGTGTTTTACGTAGAGGTGATTCTGTGTTTAGGGCTTTGCAGAGGGCTGGGAGGAGGTGCCTGCTCATTAAAGGTGCATAAATGTGGGTTCCATGCTCGGAACTCTCTTTGGTGCTAAGCCGCCATCCACTTTCCCCAAGGACTTTGTCTGAGTATAAATTCTTTCCAAGTTCCTTCTGCACATGTGGATGGGAGAAAGCAGAGACTCCCAAGGTACACAAATTCTGGTCTTATTCATGGAGCAAATCAAACAGACGTTTACAAGCCCTTTCTGCCTCATCTGCCCCCACCAAGGAATTAAATAGGCTGATGGGCTGTAATGACTCCCTCTTGCTGCCTTCTCCATCCATTATCTGGTCTCCTACTTTGGAGTACCGGGATCCAGCCATCTCCATTGTACCATGCAGAAGCATACGGGCATGGTGAAGGTGCACTGTGCGAGGCGTGAAGCCTGTGCCTGGATGCCAGCTCCCCTGCAAGCGTGGCTTGACTATTTGGTACTGTAAAGAAATACACAGCAACTTCAGGCATGTTCCTCCTGTGGTCATTGTGGTCTCTAACTTCCACATGCCAGGCTTGTATGGTGTTTCCCACAGGCCGAAAAAATCAGGCGGTGTCATCAGCGATTGTTCATCCCTTTCTCATTTCAGCTGCCTCAATAGTTCTGCAGATTCCCCACCTACATGCTCCTGCTCTGCTGGATACACAGGGAATGGGACCCATTGCACAGGTATGTCCAGCAAGTGTGGGCAAGATTCAAGGCTTGCAAACATCTGTTGAGGCTACGCAGAGACGAGGGGTTTGTTTCTGAAATAAATGGCATGATGTTGCCAGGGAAAAGATCTTTCCAATCCTTTTCCACGTAGCCGTCCACCATGAACTCTGCCATGCTTTGGCAGAGAGGTTTTCCAGTCCAGAGGTTTACACGGGATGCTCTTGATGTTGCTAGAGCCTGTGAGAGAGAGAGAAAAAGGCAGTTCTTACTGCTTCTGGAGACAGATGCACATGAATGGGTTGTTTTAGTTCTGGTATCACAGCAGCAGTGGCAAAGATACAAAAATTTTGGCCATGAATCCCTGGAATATGGATGCTTCTATTCGCTAGAATCTTGTGCTCCTTCTATTTTTGGCCATGCTGAAATTGGATAGAAGTAGTGCAGCAGTTGTGCCAAAATGAGGTAGGATTTCAGGATACAGCTCTAGAGCATACAAACCTGGTCTATGTCAAAACCAGACAGACATGAAATAAACACTGAGTGATAAAATTGTAACAGTCAAATCAAAACACTGGTAGACATCACAGTTTCTTTTCAGTATTGCCCTTGTTTGAAAATGAGCAAGGGGAAAAAAAGCAAAAAATCTCTTTAAAGTTGTGAAGGACAATATTTTTTTTTCTCTTCTAACCATTAGTCCTCAGGGAGCAAACGCTGTGACAGAAAAACTTCTTAGGCAAATGTGGGGATTACTTAAGCTCAGCATGACTTTTGGACTGGCCTCTCTCAGATCTGGATGAGGCCCCATGCCTTTTAAAGGACCTACAGTTTCACTGAGGAACAAAGGGATTTGAATAAGATTTTGTGCTTTTTGTTGAGATGGATGATCATTCTGGCACAGTTCATCTTAACTAGATGCTCTGAGCAGATTCTGCTTCTCTTGTTTGTGGTCACAGAAATAGATCCATGCATTATCGATCATGGTGGCTGCTCCATATACGCTGTGTGTACTAAAGTGTCCCCAGGAGAGAGAACTTGTGTTTGTAAGGAAGGCTACGCTGGAGACGGGACGCTCTGCATGGGTGAGTGTTTAGTGCATGTTTTGGTGATAGCGGCAAAGTATCATGCATGCAAAGGGGAATTTCAGGCTAAAAGACTTAAAATTTCAGGTTAATGTGTTGAATAACTTGATTCTCCTTCTGTCTGTTTGTGCAGTGATTATTTCAAAGCCAATAATTGCTAGCTGAGCTTGATTCAACTGTGGTTTAGGTTTTTATCAAGGTGTATGCACACGTATGTGTATATGTGTTCATACATATCGGTAGATATGTGGTCAACGTTCTCCCAAGTCATGATTAGCGAAGTGATCATCGCTGTCCCAGCACAGTGCCACCCGAAAGTGGGCAGAGAGCCCACGCTGCCCTTGGCACATGCCTCGCTGGATGGCCTCAGGCCAGTATTTTGGTCTCAAACCAAAAGAGCCCTGAGAGGTTTCTCGCCCTGATGCATGTCGTGGGGATGTCCAGAGACAGAGGGTGAGGGCAGTCTCCCACAGTAGTGCTCTAAGACGAAGATGGAGCTGTGGGAGAGTCCAGTCCTCTCCTACCCTTTAAAGCACACCCAGGCAGGCATGGGATTTTCTGTGAGCACAACTCAGAGACACACATGTGCCAGAAATAGAACTTGCAGTTGTACCCTCTTCTTTTGCTATTGCAAGTCACTTTTCCACCAAAATGTTTCCCAAGCTGGGAAGGTCCTCCCTGTTGCTTTCCCAAAACTTCTTTGGGTCACCAATTCCCAGCTGCCTTGAGCAGCCCTCAGCAATAATGTGGCCTTATTGTTTTGCTGCAGAAATTGATCTCTGTCTCGAAAGCAATGGGGGCTGCCACACCAATGCAGAGTGCATTAAAACAGGCCCAAGGAAGGTGAGTACATAAGATGGATGTCAGGGCAACATTATTATGGAGGTTGTCACAGCTGTGTAATTCTCTTAGAGACAATCCTTTCCATGGCAGCGCGCTGCCTTGTGCTTGTTGCCTTCCACGCAGAAAAGTTGCCTGGGAAGGGCATGAAAAGATTTCCTTGAAAGCAGTGCCTTCTGTTGGCCAGAGGCTGGAGGCAGTCTCGGGTTATATTTGTTGTTGACACAAGTATGGTTATTCATGAATGTAGCGATGGCTGCTATACAACATGCTTCCCATTCAGCTCAACCATTTCTTTATTGGGTCCAAGTTTCAAACTGAGCATTTGCTCTCCCTCCAGGTTGCCTGCAACTGTCTTCCCGGTTACAGTGGGGATGGCGTGAGCCAGTGCAACCCCATCAACTTGTGTGAACAGGTATGTCTGCATGTCACTGTTACTGGAGGTGAAGGCCACAGCCTTGAAGCATTCAGTTCTCCCAACAGTTAACAGCAAGAATAGGGTTAGCCTGCTTGTTTAGAGCAGGCTGTCTTGCCTTTTTGCATACCAAAGGGATTTCCTGGTGTGTTTGGTTTCCATTGCCTCTCGCAATGACCTTCGAGTATGTCGGCCACCTGGAACTCCCTCTTGTGGGAGAAGCAGTGTGGAAACAGTGACATAGCGTTGGAGGCATGTGGGCTTGTTTCTCTGCATCCATTTTGTGTGGGACACGCTTGAAAGCTTAAGAGTAACCTGTGCTCATGGTGTCGCTAACATGTCAAAATGTCTCTCTGAATCACGGGGTTTGTCATCACTCTGGGTTCCAAAGTAAGGTGTGAAAATCTTGTTTCATGGGAGGATTTGGTGCTGAAAAGCCCTTGAGGATTCGGGTGAGATTTATTCTAAGGCACTAAACAGATGGGAGGAATGGTTTCCTTTCCGCTGTGCTGGATGTGGTTAGCAGCTCCGGCATGTAAGTGGCAGTTCAAATTGTTGCTGATCCCCCCCATGGAAGCCTTTTGCTTTTCTTGCTAGAACAATGGAGGCTGTAGTCCCTTTGGGCTCTGCAAATACACAGGTCCTGGCACTCGAAACTGCTCCTGCTCTTGGCACAGTGTTGGAGATGGCTTCACCTGCCATGGCAAAGTGTATCAGGTGAGAAGCATGCGCAGCATCTTTTGTGTTGGGCCCCCTGCCCTGCCCCAAACCACTCCCTCCCCTCCAAGTGGAAGCTTCAGGTGAGCAGATCTGTAGTGTCATATTGACACGTGTGTGGTGTGGGAGTGGAGACAGGTGCTTCGAGGCAAGCTATCCATAAATCATAGGTGTATTTGGTGTGCCAGCTGTGGGAGACAATCACAGTAAAGGGACTTCGCTCCAAAGGGAGTCATGATGTTGCTCTGTCAGCAACATTGGCCATACCTCCAGAGTAATGTTATCAGCAAATGGGAGTAATTTTTTTCCCCCCATCTTTCATCTCTCTCTCTGCTTCATCCTGCAGCATCTGCGATGTGAATGGTCCAGGCAGAGGTCACTGCCTGCTCTGTAACCTCCGCGTCATCTGTGCCTGCAGTGCTGGCAAGGGAGGGAGGGAAAGATCACTATGGTGTGTCTGGAGAACTGGTGTCTCACTGGGGTGGGAGAGTGACCTGGAGTGGAAGGAGCAGTCACCATGCTGGCTGGCCAGGATTGAGCAGAATGGACTTTGCTAATACCAGTTGTTTCTCTTTGTTTAAGGAGCTCGGAAGGATTGAAGACGCATCCGTGTTCTTTAAGATGATACTGGTTGGTGACAAATATCTTTGTCCTTGTCTCTGTGTAGTAAATCCCACTTAGGGTTTTCTGCAAAGGGTCTTGCTAACAGGAACCATTTTCTGTTTCCCTTCCCACAATGCTCTTCTACCACAGGCGGAAAGCATCAAGGAGCTCAGTGGGGCAGGACCTTTCACTGTCTTTGTCCCACGGACAGATTTCATAGGAAACACCACAACGGTAAGTGTCCTCCTATCCCAAGCACTGTCAGGTGTTTGACAAGCTCCAGTCATGGCACTGTCTCCTCTGGGGCTGTCTGAGCAGTGAATTGAAGCACAGGGGCTGCACTGCAGAGGGTTAAATGTATCCCCCATTCTCCATCAGTGTAAGAGCAGAGGTTTGTATGCTGGCTCACTGCAGAGACAATCTGGGCAGGGGTAGACATGGCTGCTGTTGTAAGGAGACCCTTACTGGAGCCCCTGCCTCATGGTCCTCAGAGGTACTGTGCCAAATCAGTGATGCGTGGTGACTTCCGTTGCCCGTGGCTATTAGGGGCTGGGAACAGCAAGGCTTCAAGGCATCTGTAATGAAAACCTCTTATTCTTTCTCTGTGCCCCAGGCCCTGCCATTCCACTTCTATTGGTCCCTTCCTTCTAGTCCCAACCTTTTTCTCCTTCTAGTCCCAACCTTTTTCTCATGGGTGCCCCATACACCCAGTAAAGGAACAATTCCCAGTGACCACATACCCCCGGCGTGACATCCTCAAGGCCAATGTGGTCATTTGTCCCCCATCAAGGAACCTGCATGCTGTTGAAATTTCCCAAAGCTCTTAAATGGTTTCGGGCATTCACCACATTTCGGGGGGGGCTGGCTTTCCTGCAGGGATGTGTCAAAGGGGGCTTGGGCAATCCAGGTCTCCCTCATCAGGTCTGGGCCCTCCCTGCAAGGCAAAGGGCTCTCAGTGTGACCTCATTCTTGTTTTCTGTCTGTAGTTTGAGGAGTGGAGGAGCAGAGGTCTTCTCCGGGACCTGCTTCGCTACCACATGGTGGGTTGCCAGAAGTTGCTGTCCAGTGACCTGGAAGCCCAGGAGTCCCTTACGTCTTTATCTGGCCACAAAATAAAGATCACAGTGAAAGAGGTAGTTCTCTGCCACAGTTCCCTTCCCTGTCCCGCTTGTCAGGATGTCACTTTTGCTGTCATTTGAAGGCCGCTGTGATTGTGGCAAGTGGCTTGCCTGGGGCCCGCAGACAGCTTATAGAGTGGTGCCGTGCGTGCGAATACCTCAGCACATCCCTTCTCTCTCAGAATAGCATCTATCTCAATGAGGAAGCTAAACTGGTTGTGAGTGACATCATCGGTGCGAACGGGGTCATTCATTTCATCAACAAGATCCTCATTCCGAGTGACCTGGTGGACCGAAACATTTCCTCAAAGATCTCACAGGTAAGGCTGAAGCAGTGACTGTGCCATGGTGACTGTGGTGAGGACAGGGCGAGGATCTCTCTCCCAGCAGCTCTGATAGTGCTGTCCCTGATAACCCCTCAGCCCAAGGCCACGCAGGGTGCTCTTCCTCCCTGTTCCTATCCCTGTTCCTAGCTGGTGCAGGGGTTGTCTGTGAACACAGATTTGGCTAGTGAAGGTGACAGCATTTGTGGCATAACAACATTTGGGACAGGAGCTGTGATTCATCATCAGGGAACAGTACTGGATGCAGACAGAGGGATCATGTCCCATGCCAACCGTCACACTCCTTTTCCAGTGCAGAGCAAATTGCAACGTGAGATTGCCAGTGTCTCTCTGGTACTCCTGAAACAAGTGCTAGGAGCTTATAGATCCTGCATTTTACAAAAGATGACACATTATCTGTACAGCACAACAGAGGGCTGAAATTCTTCCCAGCTCCTGCCATAGCAGCGTCTACCCAGGATGAATCAGAAAAGTGGCAGCTGCTGAGTGCCAGCGCTCACCAGGCCAAATCCATCAGCATGACGATGACAGAGATAAACTAGCATTTAGCTATTGTAGTTGTTAACCATCTGGTTTCTCCCCTGCGTTGCTGCTCCAGGTCCTGGAGGAGGACCTCTTAGCGACAGTGTTTTGCTTTCTTCCCTCTGCAGCAAAATATCACAGAAGTGGCAGAGGCCTTTGGGTACACCATTTATAGCAAGCTCCTGCAGGTGAGTGGCCTGACTCCTGCTGCTCTGTGGGGAGGTGGTGCGTGCACGCGCACATTCAGTTTTGGCTTGTGGCTTTTTCTTTCTGTCCCCTCCTATCTCCGACAGGACGCGGAGCTGCTGCCACTGGTTAGTGACCCTCTGCATAGACCCTTCACCATGCTGTGGCCCACAGATGCTGCGTTTAACGCCCTCTCGGAGAAAAGGCAGAGGTGGCTGTACCGCAGGGAGCATCGGGACGTGCTGGCCTCCTACCTCAAAGCACACATGATCAGGGACACAAAGGTAAATGTGACAACAAACAGGCTTATACCTTCCGAGGCCACATGTGATGCCACCGCCTGCCTGTGGTTACGCCAGAGTGACCTTGCGAAATATTTTGCTGCTGTAGAACATGCAGCATAATAGTTGTCTTGAGAAGACCCAAAGCTGTTTGAGCATTTGAGGCAACTACCACTTCATCGTGAACCTCTGGTGCAGCGTGGCTGAGCTGAAACCCTCTGTCATCAGCTTCTTGGGGAGGCCACATCATCACCAGTGTCAACACAAGGCTCACAAACAGGCTCTTGTCTATAGGGGTGATGAAGGAGGGAAGTCCAGCTGAGCAAAACCAGGGTCTGCTTGCGCACGCTGGCCTCTCACTGTTCAGGAATCTGGGGCTAACCCAGCATACTTACACTGTTCCACCCACACCGGCTTCACATTCTACCACGTCGCACCCCTCTCAGTGTGGCTGCTGAGCCCCGTCCTCACCAAGCAGCATCTCGTTAGAAGTATGAACTGCCAGTTTTACCTGTCTCTCCCTTCACATTCTTCTTTTTCCCTCTTAGATTGTTGCTGGTAACGTGCCCCAAGTCGAATCCATACGGACCATGCACGGCTCCACCATCTCGTTCAGCTGCAGCAAAACCCACGTGGTGAGTGATGGTGATGCTGGGCTTGGCTTTCCACTGAGCAAGTGGGCATTTGCCACAGGGCAACCAATGCTCCATGTTGGTCACCAGCAGAGGTGAACACAGAGTTGGAGCGCTTGCAGGCTGAGACACCTCATTCCCCTGGCTACAGCTGAGCCTGCAGGGAGGCTCGAGACTCTGTGGCTAGCTGGCAGGAAAGCGTGGAGGCATGTGGTACCTGCTGGAGGCATGTGGTACCTGCTGGAGGCATGTGGTACCTGCACGTGCACTTCACGATGACCAGATTGCAAAGTCAACCGCATGGTACCATGACTTTTAACAGAGCACACGTTGCATGGACAGAGGCCATTTCTTAGGAGAGATGGCCATGAAAAGTGGCAATCGGGAAGGGTGGTCAAGGACACGAGCACAGAGATTTTGGACAGTTCTTGGGGTGATTGAGAAGTCATGGCAGCCAAAAAAGTCAAATTTTGGGTGGTGTGGCCAGTATGTAGGATGTGCCAGCATCACAAGTTGCGTTCTTCCTCTGACAGGGGGAGCTTCTGGTGGGGAATGGCGATGCCACCATCATCCAGAGGCACATGGAATTCAATGGGGGCATTGCTTATGGCATTGATAGACTGTTGGAGCCACCGGATTTGGGATCTCGATGTGATGAGTTCGTCTTTGTTGAGCTGCAGGTGAGCGCTTGCAATGAGGCCAGTGAGGATCTGTGCCATCTGTTGAGCACCATGCCTGGGAAGAGGGATGTTGGGAGGGCTTGCTGCTCTTCCTCGGCAAAGCTCTGAGCAGCCGAGAGAGGCAGAAGTGCATATTGAGTTGTTTTGGGGTTTCTTTCTCTCCTCCACAGGGATCTACGGAGAGCTGCGGACTCTGTGGCTTCGAGCCACCCTGCCCTCCGGGCTCCGTTCAACGGGTAAAGCTCACAGTTTTGTCACTAAGGCGGCCTGTTACGGGGCTGATGGCAATACCCCCACACCCCTCGTGTTTTAGCAGCAAAATGAAGGCACACCTGCATGTGGCGGGTCCCTTGGCTCAGTCACGTTGCCCGTGCCTTACCCCAAGCCATGCTGTCCCATCGGGCAGGACCTGGGCTGAGCAACACAGGGTCAGGGGCTCCAACCATCTTTGTTTAGTCAATCCCTATGTGGGTGACAGTGGCTGCAGGGCTCTCTGCAGCAGCACTGGGGGCTTCTCCAGGTGCTTTATAGCAAAAGAGCTTGGCCTGGCTGCTGGAGATGGACCAGGGATCAGATGGTGAGCAGCCTTGGGGGGCAGTGGTTGTACCCCATTCTCACTGCATCACTCATTGCCTCTCTCTGCCAAGCTTCTGGCATGTTCCTGAGGTACATCTGTGGCTCCTCTGTCACCAGTCCCATCACATGTTAGGAAGTCTCTGTTACTTGTCATAAAACTGAATGAGTAGCACAAGAAGAGTCAAGGTGAGACATCAAAGACCAATGTAGCAAACTCTGTGTTTTGCCTGTTTCCTCGCAGGGGGGAACCAGGCGCTGCTACTATTACGGAAACCAGCTGTTGAGAAACACTTTTCTGTTTCACCGCAACTCCCTGTTGCGGCCGCCCTCCCCGTGGGACCCCTTCAGAAGACACTTCTCTTCCAGGGGGCCTCTCAGACGAGGCTGCAAGAGGAGCTGCGTTTCCACCCAGTGGGTCCCTCAGTGCTGTGCGAACCACTATGGCCGTGACTGTTGGGGTAAGGAGCCGTGCAACCCTTTCCCTCCCCGGCCCTTTCTCTTGTGGGAAGGTGGTGTTTCTGGTTCAGCACAGACGTCTGGTGTCCATGAGTGTGCTTCCCCAGGGAAGGGTGGGCAAAACCCCAGGCAGGGAGCCGCAGTCTATGGAGGGTGCAGGGAACGATCCCCTAGGGGGTGCGTGTGGATGGTGTAATGGGGAATTCCCTTTCCTTGGAGAAACCCGTGTCCCCATGGAGAGCCCTGGGCACAGGGCTGCGGGGAGTGGCTGTCAGAGCTGTCACTCAGCCGCTGTCAGACATGTCACTCAGCCCTAGATGTTGCCGATGCTCAACCATTCCCTGGCATCTGCCCTCTACGCTTTGTGCATGGGCAGTTTTCACCTCCTCGGATGAATCTGCTGCCAGGTTAGCATGGAGTGGTCCAGCACAAACTCAGCACGTTACAGGCTGGAAGCTATGCCGAATTTGTCCCTCTTGCCCCCATTTCTAAGGTTTATTGTCCTGGGATGTCTGCAGCACTCACTCCCAGGACTGCTGAGCAGGCTCGGTGGCCCAAGCACCCCATAAACAGCAGTTCACATGGCACCAGGCTCCGCTCCAGCACAGGGTCACTTTGTCACAGCAGCCTCACTAAGGTACCCTATTTGCAGCGTGCCCAGGAGGGCTGGAGGCGCCGTGCGGTAACCGTGGCACCTGTGACGACAAAATCGGTGGCTCAGGGAGATGCAACTGCAGCCAGGCTTTCATCGGGACCAGCTGCGAGCTGTGTGCGCCAGGCAGATACGGGCCAGACTGCCGAGGTAAGACTCCTTCTGCCTGTGGGGCGGCAGCAATGCAGAGGGTTTGGGGAGAGGTGGCTGCGCCACGTGGTGCTACTTGAAGAGGGGGTGGTGGGTGCTGGACTCACCTCTTTGCAGCTTACAGCATAGGAATCAGTGCTGCCACGTATGCGTCGGTCCCACGAACGCTCGGGTCAGGCTTCTGGGGCCGGGGACATCCCTACGTGGCCTCGCGGCAGGATAGCCATTTGGGCAAACATAGTTTGCCATCTCAAACTACTCCAGCTGTAGTTTGAGAAGGCTGGGTGGCACGTGGCAGGAGCCACGCTACCGGTGGCCTCACTTCTGTGCTGAAGCCCCGGGGTCGAAGACTCCTCCTCATTTGTCACACGCAGCTGAGAGCCCCAGTCTGGCAGACAGCGTTATGACATATTTTGGGCTGGGGGCCAAATCCGTAAGCTGTGATGAACTCTGTACAGAAAGAGCATCTTCTGGGACATGCTCAGCAGGGACCTGTGTGTTTGTGAGGCAAAGGGAAGGAAATGGGACATTCACCTGTCCCAAGCTGGGCTTTATGAGGGCTCCAGGAACATTTTTGATGGCTGTATGGTTGCAGGGACTCGGAGTGAAAAACTCACCTCTAGAAATGCCCAGGGGAGGGGAATGATGGGAGTTTGTGGGTGCAGAGTCTTCCCCTCCTCTGTGAAGGGTGCGTGTTGCAGGGGAACGGGCTGGCAGTGACAGGAAGGGATGCGTGCGTACTGCCGTGCCTGCCTTCGGGCACTGCACACACAAGCCACCTTTCTGTCATGTGGCTGTCCCATGGCCCGAGCGTGGTCTTTCACTGCCACCAAGGCAGATGCTGTGACAGCATTTTTATCCATTCCTCACAGAGTGTAACTGTACCGAGAACGGCGTGTGCAACGGAGGACTGCATGGTGATGGCTTCTGCTTCTGTGCCGAGGGCTGGACTGGAGACCGCTGCGAAATCAGACTAGGTGACAGATGCCAAGCCCCACCACCTACTATTCCCTGGAACCTGGTGCCATATGGCCACTTTCCTAATAGCTGGATTGTTCAAGCAGCCGGTCAGAAATATCTCCAGAAAAAAGCTCTCAGTTGCAGGGCTCATCCTAAGATCTGGTCCCTGCTGTTGAATTTCACAAGGGTTGGGGTGGGGAGGAGGAGAAGGAAAGCTCCACTTGATCGTGAACAAGTCCCTGAGCTCAGAGGTGCACCAAGAAGAGCTTGAGGGTGAAGTGAAGGCCTGAGGTGTCTCTGATGAAGTAACATTCCTCTGGGTTTGGGCAAGGCATCTGCAGAAAAGCACAGGGGGAGAGAGGGGGGAGTGTGGGGCAGGTGGCCTGGGGCAGAGGCCCACCATGGCAGCTGTGTCTGTGGTGCAGCTCTGAGGTCATTCTGACCTGTGTGTGTTCTGGTTTCAGTCATGACGCCCACCTGCTCTCCACCGTGCCACCCGCAGGCCGTCTGCCGCTCCGGCAACCTCTGCGAATGCAACCTACACTACGAAGGAGATGGGAGAACGTGCTCAGGTCAGGGGGAGCCACAAAGGGATGGGATGGCAGGGTGGTGAGCGAAGGGGAAAGTGGGCAACACAGCAAGACAACAGGTGACCATCTCCTGATGGCCCTGTTGGTGTGACGACTGGCAGGACGGACAGATAGACCACCAGGACACTTAGCAAGGTGCTTTAGTTGGTCTAACACTTTTATCCCTGCAGTGATCGACATGTGCAGCCAGGACAACGGGGGGTGCGCCAGGCATGCACAGTGTATGCAGGTTGGCGTGAACGTCTCCTGTGCCTGTGCGCCCGGGTACGGAGGCGACGGCTACGTCTGCGACCCCATAGACAGGTGTGCGGACGGTAGGAATGGGGACTGCAGCGAACACGCCAACTGCATCAGCACTGGGCCGGTGAGTACCTCCCCGAGGTCTGGGGAGACTTGCGTGCCTGGGAGCACAGCGCAGGTGGCTGCCGTGGGATGCTTCAGGCTGCTGGAGGACAGCGATGTGACAGTGGCCTGCTCCTCCTCTCTGGACCCCTCAGCTATTGTGCTCATTCTGTAGGTTGTTACTGCCAGGCAGGGGCCATTGAGGGCCCTGCTGAAGTTATGCTGAGGCCATTTTCCCCCATTCCTCTGACTAAGGGGCATAAGCTGTGTCAGTCGTGGCATTTCTGGACTGTTTTGGGCGCTCCAGGATGGTCCTTTGAGGATGATGCTGGGCATTTCTGCAGAGAAACTAGAATTGCTCACTGCAGGCCAGAAGATGGGACTGGGAGCATGATGTAGTGCAAGAATCATGAGCCATGTACCCCAAAGCTCAGCTGTCTTTCAAACAGCACGTGATATGTGACATTTTTTCATTCATGTTCCGTTGGATGTGAGGGCAGGACAGAGGCTGTGTGGCTTTTTGTATCTCTGTCATAGTCCCAGTGGGCTGTGGAGGCATTTGGAAGGCTCATCCCCATCTTCATAGGGATACGAGGTTCCCCAGCTGGCATCTGCGTGTTTGCACTTGCACAAATGCCATTCTTCCTTTGTACTGCAGAACGAGCGGCGCTGTGAGTGCAAGCAGGGCTACGTCGGTGATGGGATCCAGTGCCTGGAAGAGGCCGTGCCCCCCACAGACCGGTGCCTGGAAGACAACGGACAGTGCCACCGGGAGGCCATTTGCACTGACCTACACTTTCATGGTGAGCGTGCCCAGCGCCGCAGAGCCAGGGCTGCTGTTCCGTGGAGAGGTCACACTCCCTCATCCTTCACCTTCTGGCTGGGACACCTCTCGGGAGAGGTGGAGGGTGGGAGAGCTGAGGGGCCGGAGACTTGTCTCCCTGGCTTGGTCTGGTTGTCACATTCCCCTTTTCCCCTACACGTCATACAGGGAGGACAAGCCATCCTTGTCTGCTTCTGTGTGACACATGAGGTGGCCTCTGGTGGGATTACAGTGCCAGTAAGCACTGACGCCCTTGTGGAAGGCGAGAAGCTCAGAGGAAGCTGTGCCGCATCCCCCTTCGCCCTCACTTGAGCGTCGTCCACATCCCACCCTCCCGTGCAGCACTGGGGACCCTCCGTTGGCGGTGCTGTCTGTGGGGACCCACGCCGCTGCCCCGGGGAGGCTGCTCGCTCTCTGCTGCACTGATGCTCACTGTCCTCGCTATTTTGCAGATAAGACTATGGGCGTATTTCATCTGCAGTCACCCCGAAAAAAGTACGACTTCACTTACGAGCAGGCTCAGGCGGCCTGTGCCGCAGAAGGCGCTTCCTTGGCCACTTTCCAGCAGCTCTCGGCAGCACAGCAGGTCAGGGCAGGGATGCAGAGGTCGGGCAGGGGCTGGCTCCGTCTCCTCGGGGGGTGGGGACATTGAAGTGCTTCTCCCTGGGCCCGGTCCAGTGGTAGCAAGCCCCTGACGCGTGGGTGGGTGACCTGCCAGGCCCTGTTTGCTTGGTCTACGTCCATGAAACCAGGAGGGCTGGTGGGTCTTGCCAGTCACACTGGGATGAGACCTCTGGCAGCGTCCAACCTGTTAGGTGTTGGGGGAAAGCAGCATAAGGCTGCACAGTGGGAATGTGCATTGGGGTAGAAAACCTGGGACAAGGATATTATATTTAACCTAATCATTCATTTTCCTCTGCTAGATGGGATTCCATCTGTGCTTGGTGGGTTGGCTGGACAATGGCACAGCTGGATACCCCACGGCCTACCCCAACCCCAGCTGTGGGTCTAACCGAGTGGGCATTGTGGACTACGGCCTCCGAAGCAACCTGAGCGAGACCTGGGATGCGTTCTGCTACCGGGAGAAGGGTGAGTGGTGCGAGCACAGTTCCTGGGGACGGTCCTGTCAAGCACAAGAGGTGTGTCGGGGCAGCAGGCAGAGAGCTGCCCTCAGAGCGTCCCCCTCTCCCCTTGCCTGTGTTGGGAGGGAACATGCTGAGGGGTATCCAGAAGTCAAGGGAGAGGTGGTCACTGTAGCCACCGTTGGCGGGTCAAGTCACATCTTGGCTTTCCTTTGCAGATCTGACTTGCACCTGCCGTGATGGGTTCGTGGGAGATGGGTATTGGTGCAGCGGCAAACTCCCTGATGTGCTCGCAGACCACGCTAGCTTCTCCACCTTCTATTCCGTAAGCGATGCTCTCCTGGTTCTTTGGTACGCCAGCAGCTGGCAACAAGGGGGAGGGAGGGCCTTAACAGGGAGAAGTGGTAGTTTGGTCTGTGTGGGGTGCAGAGTACAAACATGGGGGCATTTTCTTTCTGGAGCTGGGGGATAGTCTCCTGGGCTGAGGAATGTAACAGGCCTGAGTTCCCTGCAGCATGCTGATGGGGATCTCCCATCTTTTCCAGATGTTGCTCGATTTTGCCAATGACACAGAAGAAGGACTGGATTTTTTCATCTATTTGTCTGATGACTCTGCTCCTAAAACTCTCTTTGTCCCTCTGAACTCTGGCTTCGCAGACAATGAAGTAAGTAAGCAGGGATGAGCGGCCGCTCGAGGGCGCATGGAACTATGAGAGCGCCAGAGGAGAGCAGGAGTCCGCCAAAGCTGGCAGGATGGTGTCGTGAAATAGAGTCTGGGGAAGGAGGAGGAATTTAGGTCAGAGGGATGGCTGGAGGGCTCTAGTCCAACTCCAACCCCTCAGAAGAGCCATTTAGGTCAGGTTGCTCAGAGCTTTCTACAGTTGAGCTTTGACTATTTCTAAGGATGGCAATCCTCCCTTCTCTGCACAGTAGTTTTGTGCCATGTTGCCCATGAATTGAGCTGTCTTGGGGCCATGGCGAGTGTCTGGGCTTAGGCCAGGTGGGGACTGCACACAGCGGGAGGGGAAGGGGCGAGAGCCAGCTCAGCCGTTTCTCATCCCTGCTTCCTGTTGCTTTTTCAGACACTGACAGGAGAAGAACTGAAGCTCCACGTGTCATCCAGCAACGTCGTCCTCTTCAGCTTCAACCTCACAACGGGCACCATCATCCCATCCCAGTCAGGATATGACCTCCATGTATCAGACCTCCCAGAGGGCAACAGTACAGAGCACTCAGTAGGTTAAACTTCAGCAGAAGTCAAAAAAAACCCCAAGTGTTTGCCACATCTCTTTTGAGACAGAGAACAACGGGGAGGCTTTCTGGTCGGGTGACATCATCTCTGTCCTGCGCTGTAGGACGCCAAGGGGATCAATGACACGATGATTGTGGAGTGGGACATCATAGCTTTCAACGGCATCATTCACGCAATTGCAGAGCCACTGAGGATTCCACCACCCATCGTTCATCTTGGTCAGGTGAGTGTCCGACGGCACGAACAGGGAAGGAAGGTGCTGAAACAGCTGGAGTCAGGCCTGGAAACGGGGACGAGGTGACCGAGTCATCCAAAGGACTGGCCTCCTCCTCTCTGCTCTTCTGACACAGCTCATTTTGGCAGAGCAGCACATTGTCACACTGGGGCATTGCCCTTCCTCTGCCCGGGGAGTGCCGTCACCGTCACCGGGCTGCTCTTTGTCGACGCAGGTGAACGGCGTGGCCCAGGCATCGGGCTCCGTGGCCACAGGGACGTTGTCAGCGCTGTGCTTCGCGCTGGTGCTGGCTGCCGGTGCTGGCATCGCCTATTACTGCGTGAAGAGGCGGCGGCAGGAGGAGCAGTTCGGGTATTTTCAGGTGCGTGGGGGCGGCGGAGCGGGTCGGGGGGAGGCAGAGGCCTCTCCGGGGCGAGGGCAGGTGGGTGGAGGCTGGGGGAGCGCGGGTGCCCCGTGGAGTGCCCCGGGGGGCAGTGGGGGCCGCGGCGGGGGGCAGCCAGGCGTGGGAGCGGCACTCGCGGCTGCGGTGTCTCGTACG